GAGAAAAATTTGGAACTCAAAATCTTAAAAAATGAATGCTAAAAATTATCTTGACATGTAATTGGGGAAAAAATACTATTTTAAAAACAAGCAAACAAAAATTAAAAAATAAAAGACTAAAAAACTCCAAAGGTCTCAAAGAGCTCACTCCAAGCTAAGAGATTGTCTAGGCAAGTTTATTAGTTCCAAATCTGTTTTCCCCTTTACTGATGCTCTTAGGAATTGTGGCCTCATGCTTCTAGCCAACAATAACCTAAAAACATTTTCCTAGGGTTCTCTTTATTTGTGACAGACATTTATGTCAGGAAGGATCAAGAGACTACTTCTGAACAACTGTCAATACTGTTAAGATTGTTGATGGAAGAAATTCCCATAATCTGACAGCATCATTTATCACTCCCTTCTTCTGGCTTGAAGAAAGAAGTAGCAGATGTTGAAAAAAGTAATTTAGACACAAATCAAGTCTTATTTAAGATTTTTAGTCATCAGTGCAGTGACTTTCATTTGAAAGTTTCCCTTGGAAATGTCAGTTTATGTCATTAAGATATTCTGATAAAGAATACTTAGAAAATTTATGCTATGCTACGTATCATACCTTAAAAGGAAGCCAATTCCCCCCCCCCCCAAAAAGAGGTTATTTGAGCTACGAATAGTTAGTTAGGGTCACCACGCAATACAGATTTATTTGTGAAAGATACAGCAACAATGTCTTAATATTCTCACAGCTAACTTACCTCAATATTTTTTTGAGCCTAATTAGCAAATATTCTGATAGCACCGAGTTATTCCTCAAGGTTCTTTTTGCCTCCTCTTCTTTCCACAATGCCAATTCTCACTGCTTTGGCCAATCTTTCGTTTACCTTTTTCCTTCTTTGACAATCTTGTGACTGACAAGGATAGAATATTCTATCATTTTCTGATCTAATGGGCTAAAGTCAACTAAGGATAGCAACCCATGACTGAAAGAATACTGAAAGTTGGTCTGACTCCTTTTGGCCTAAAAAGTGGTTTGTTTGTTGTTCAGTCAATTTTCAAGTTGTATCCAATTCTTCATGACCCCTTTTGGGGTTTTCTTGACAAAGATATTGGAATGTTTTACCATTTCCTTCTCCAACTCATTTTTACAGATGCAGAAACTGAGGCAATCAGGGTTAAGTGACTTGCCTAGGTCACACAGCTAGTACGTATGTGAGGTTGGATTTGAATTTGGGTCTGCCTAACTCCAGGTCTGGCCCTCTATCCACTGCGCCACCTAGCTGCCCCCATGACGTTATATTTAAGAATAAGATCAGAGGATTTAAAACTGGAAATTAAGTGGTCATCTAGTATAACCTCTTTACTTTACAGATGAGGAAATGAAAGCCCAGAGAGGTTATAGAAACTTGCCCAAAGTCCCGCAGATAGTAAAGGACAGGGTGAGGATTCAAACCTATGGCTTGACTCCAAATGTGGTGCTCTATCCACTATACCTCACTGCCCAGTTCAAGCACTTCATCCCTGACCTCTGGAACACAAATGAATGAGGGGCACTACTTAGTCATCCCACTGACCAATCAATTCTGTGAGGGAAATTAATATTATACTATTATGTTAATAATTAATCAGTTATTTGTGATCTACCCTTTTCCCTTCTTATTTAGGTTGAAACCATCTCTTGAAAAGGTTGGTCAGCCTCTGGCAGACAAGGCAGAGTGATGAGATTTGCTTCCAGCCCTCAAGGCACATGCTAGTTAGTTGAGCAGGACTCCACTCAACTGGTATAACTAATTTCTTTTAGAATCCAGTCTGAATGAGCCTTTGCCTGGAGGAGGAAGCCCCAGTCCTTGGCCTCCTCCTCCTGAGTTCAGGGCAACCCAGCTCATGAAGAAGAAAACTTGCTAGAGGTCCAGATAGAGATGGCTTCCTCTTGCCTGGATGCCTGGAAGGGGATCTCACGATCAAGCCCTGCTCTCAGCAGGAGAAGCTGAAGACTTTTGGCCCACCTGCTTATTAAATGTCCATCAATCAGGATTGAGTTGCACTTGTCAGGAAAAGTTCCTTTTCAGAAGGTATTTAACACATTTCAAGGTCTCCCTTGGTACCTTTGGCTACAGAGAGAAACCACTGACCATCAATTTATTGATCACCACCTAGCCTAATTAATAAATTGATTAATTTCCCAAAAACTCTGTCTTAGGGCTTTTCATTCATGTCATCTGAAATCTTCATTTTTACCTCTCAAGGGTCATACTCAAGAGCTGTGGTTGTTTTCTTTTTATACTCATAAAAGCTATAGAGAAATTAGTTCAGCATTCTTTTACAACTTTCTGCAACAGGAAAGAGAATCTTCTTATCCCACCAAAAAAATACTAGGGTATAGGAAGTAAGCCCCTGTACCTGAACACAACATGGATAGACCCATGGTTCCTTGATCCTAGGAAAAGGGTGCCCTAAAGAGCAGATTCAAGAATACATATGCTGAAACAGCTGTGGCACAGAGGAGTGAGTGGGGGGGCCTCAGCCTCAGGAAGACCTTGGCTCTAGGCCTACCTCTGGCACATACTGAATTTGTAACTCTGGGCAAGCCACTTAAAAACAGCACTCAGGGAGACTCTCTAAGACTACTACTAATCTGTAAGGCACGGGCTAATGGCTTGCTAAAGGAATTTTCCTCAGTGAGAGTTTACTACACCAATGAAATGACAACAACAAAACTCTGGCTAAGAGATCATTAGAATGCTAAGAGAGGAAGGAAGCAAAGCAAACAAGCCATTATTTAGCACCTACGATGTGCCACGCTGTGCCAAGTACTTTACCTCACAGCATCTCACAATCCAATAATAGTACCTGTAAGGTAGGTGCTATTATGATTCCCATTTTTCTACTGAGGAAACTGAGGCAAACAGAGCATAAGTGACTTGCCCAGGGTCACACAGCTACTAAGTGTTTGAGGCTGATGTGAGCTCAGGTCTTGAGCTATCTCCAATGTACCACTAGGTGCTATTGGTGGAAAGGCAAACTACCTGGTTGATTGTTCAGATGGGATTCACAGGGTAGCACTAACTTAGTTGTTTTGAGGAAAGTTCCCCGTATATAGCAGATCGTTACTAAATCCTTGCAGAATTGAATTTCATTACCTCAGGTTTTTGATTTACAAGTTCAGGATCTGGGTTTTTTTAGGTAACACAGGAGTGGTCAGTTCTTGAGAGGCAGAAGAGATGGATTTAGACACAATAAAGCCAATGTATTTATTTATAATGCTGTATATCTTTTTCCAGTGGCTGCAATCTTTATCTTACAATCTAAGGCATTCTAGTTCTGGATATCAAGGGAACTAAAACTCAGGCTTCCCATGCACAGAAAATTAAGGTGGCTCATAAGCAAAATACTCCCTATTTCATGACATCCTTTGAGAGGTTTTCCCATGTATGATTATACTTATCAGGGTTACTTACTATATAGTCTTCCCTTCTGGTGGCAGTAAGGGAAGAAAAGTTCTCCTCCCTACAGAAAATCAGAGAACACTGCTAAGCTTTATTTGTCCTCAGTTTCTTTAACAGATGGAAAAAAATGACTACAAGCAGGAAAAGTAAGCTCTCTATTCACTGACTAAATAACTATGGGTCTCCTTACAGCAAGGGTTCTTAAGATCTACAATTTTGCTTATTTAAATATTTTGACAATTTAATCCTAAGTATTTGAATGTATTTATTTAAATATATCATTCTGAGAAGAGTTCTATAAGCTTCACCATGTAATAGTCACTAAGCTAGGAATACAAAGACAAAAATGAATAGCCCTTGACTATTCCAAAGGGTCAAAGGGGCCTATGAAATAAAAAAGGCTAAGAACACCAGAATTATGGAGAAAAGTAAAAGAAAGCCTCAGGAAAAAACTGGAGGAACATAGCCATGACTACTGAACTACTCTACTGTTCAGAAAGTTTCACTGGCTCCCCATTGCCTCAAGGATAAAATGCAAATTCCTCTGCTTGGCACTTAAAAACCCTCTTCATCTGGTTCACTTCTACTTTTCCAGGCTTATTATACAATCTCCCCTTTTCCATATTCTGTTGTCTAGTCAAACTGGCCTACTTGCCATTACTTGTCTGAAACATTCCATCGCCTGTCTCCATGTTTTCATACATGGTTGTGCTCTGTGCCTAGAATGCCCTCCTTCCTCACTTCCACCTCAAAACTCCTATATAGTCTTTCCTGATTCCCCAGTTGCAAGGTCTCCCCTCCCCCATTTTCTTGTATATGTCTTTATGTTTACATGTTGTTTTCCTCAATACAATGTAAGCTCCTTGCAGCCAAGGACCATCTCATTTTTGTCTTTGCATTCCTAGCTTAGTGACTAGTAAATAGTAAGCACCTAGTAATGTTTGTTTATTGACTGTTTAAAACGAGTAGTATGACCACACTATTTGCCACTCTGGTGAGAGGAGAACATTTATATATATAGTGCCTAGTATGTGCCAGGCATTCTTCTAAGCATTTTATAGATATTATAATAAGGATAGTAATAATAATGACAGCTAGCATTTATTAAGTGATTATGTGCTAGCACTTAATATGTATCTCATTTGGCCTCACAAAAACCCTGGGAGGTAGGTGCTTTTATAATCACCATTTTGTACTTAGGAAAACTAAGGGAAACAGAAGTTAAGGGATTTGCCCTGGGTCACACAGCTAGAAGTATTTGAGGCTGAAGTTGAATTCAGGTCTTCCTGATTCTGATTACTTGAAAGTGTTTAAAAAAGCCTTTGTTAAAAGTGCTTAAAAGCCATCTAATTTAGAATGGTTATTTTCAGCCAAGAAAGATCGCATGCCTGGTACACTGTTGGCACTTAATAAATGTTTATTGTATAGTACTGTATCATACTGTATTGGATTCTGACCAGAGGGACCAAACTATTAAGAGGGTTGGTAGTAGGAGTTCCTCAAACTGAAATCATACATGCTTCCAAAAATATTCTAAAAGTTTTCTTTCTGATAAGTAAATCATTTTATTCAACTTACCATTTCTTTCTTCCATCTTTTGCAACAGATGTTTAAGTATGTAAAGCTCTTCAGGATGAGATTTACAGGAATATCAGAGGAAACACTGACTATAATTGGAAAACATAACTAGCATCCAACTTTGACTCCTATATTCCCTCCTCCAAGGCATTGGCAGTCATTAAACAACATTTCTCTCTCATTTATCCTACTTTGGATCCAATGTCTTTTGATAAACTTAGACTGGTTAATTTTCAGACTGGAAATCATGATAAAAGGAACTATCAGAGGCGACTAATACTTAAATTCCATGTTGAGTTCTTCAAGTTACACTTCAAAGTCTTGATCAGAATGTAGGCAAATTAAATAGGAACTTTCTTCATGATGAAAACATTTTCATTCTTTGCATCCATGAATCAGTTAAACACTATATGGAAAACAAGGAAAAAGAGTACACATTTGAAAAATGCAGAGTTGATAAATTATGTTTAAAGGGTATTATCATAATAAAAGTGACAGAATCACAGTATTCAGTTGGAATTCCTAAAATAAGTTCTCACCTGGGTTACTCACACCTGAAATGACTGAACTATAATTTTAAACAGAAAATTTTCTCCAAATGACTCCTTTTTTATAAGAGATAGTAATTAAATAGGTTTGTTCCACTAGGATCTTTAGTTGGTTTCATTTCCTTTTTTTAAATGGAGAACACATTTAAATGTGTAAATATATAGATATTTGATCACAGAATGTTTAAGATAAAACTTATACATAAACCAAGTCTTATTCATTGAAATCTATAGTGAACCACAGGATATTAGATGTTCTAGGGAAATTCAGAGATGATCCAGTCTAATTCCAAAGGAGGAATACTCATGGTGCCCTCAACTGCATGGCTACTTTTCCCTTTTTTTTTAAAGAAATCAACAGTGTCAGTTTTAAAACATAGTTTCCTAAATTAATTTTTTCTAATCTTTAAATATTCATTTTTTGCCATCCTATTTAATTTTCAAAGATAGTTATTCAACTTCAAGAATACTAAAGGGAATTTTTGCCCCCAAAATGTATAATATACTTAAATTCTGACATCTAAGAATTGGCAGGTTACTATAGTGGATAGTGCATCCAAGCTGGAATCAGGAGAACTGAGTTAAAATTCTATCTAGATATTAACTAGCTATGTTACTACTGACAAGCTATTGGACTTCTCAAAGTCTCAGTTCCATCTGTAAGATAAGTATAAGGATACTTTCAATCACTACATTACAGGTATTGTCCAAAGGACAACACCATAACGCATTATGAAAATGAATATTATTATTCAATCTGTAGTTCCAGGCCAACTAGAAAAATGCAATTCATTTATAAAATATAATTAAGGGCCAAAACAATTTTATTTAAATTTCTGATGGGCTTCCAACTTATAGCCAACAACTTTCCCAAGTTCAAACTTTTTTTTTTTCAACACCAAAGCCGTTAAATAACCGAGCACAACTGTCATCTTCCTTTCAAGAAATAAAATCTGGCAATTTTCTGATCAGGCCCCCACTGCTATAATTAATGGCAGAAATATACCTATAAGAAAAAGCAAAGTTACTAGGTTTTACTAGTGGGGCATCCTTTCCATAGGTAAGAAGGAGCTGTTATTTCTTTTATAGATTATGTTAAACCAAAAGGACTGGAATTGAAGAACACCTCAAAGGTTATCAACTGATGGGCCTGACCCAGATACCAGATCAGAACTAGAACTGGCCAAGCCTTTTTACGGCTATCATTCCTTTTACCACTATTGGGCCACGTAGATTTAGCTACCCCTTTCCTAGGGGCTCCTACTCCTCAGAAGGCTGCTTCCCTTTGACAAGTTAAAAGGAAGATGTATTCTTTTTGCTCCCTAACTTTTCCCTTGGGGAAGTGAAGATGGGTTTCGGGGTTCGGTTGCTGAGTTAAGGGCTGCAAACGATCCCTTTGCAGGTTTGGTGTAAAGACACTTAGGGTGCATAAAGCAAGCCTGGGTTGGTGGAAGGAGGCCTGGGCTTGGAAGGCAGGAGTTCACCTCGTCCCAAGGGGATCTTGACCCCAAGAGCCCTCGGCTTCGTGTCTACGCCCCCGGGGCCCGGAGCCGGGCGCAGGACTTCAGCGGAACGAGGCGCAGCCTCCCGCCACACGAGGGCTCAATCCACACTGCGGGGTGGGGGAGAAGGGGCTCGGGGGACCCAGCGCCTATGTACGGGCCGGCGCAGGGCGCCGCTCGCTCCCGCTGCACACTGCTACGGGAGACGTCCGCTTGGCCCACATCCCCGCCAGTCGGCCGGCCGGCCGGATGCGGCTTTTCCCCAGGCCGACCTCTCCCCGGCTTCCCCGGTAACAGCCGCAAGCGGCGTGACCCCATGGGCGGGCAGCTCGGGAGGAAGGACAACTCCGCAATTCCGGAGCGGAGAAGTCTTTCCGCCGCCGGGTCGATCAAGGTGTCTAATCTGGACACCTCCTTCCGACCTGCGGCCTGGCTCCCTGCCCATCCGCGGGGCGCCAGGCGTAGCCCCCACCACCCTCCGGCACACCTCCGCCGGGAGGCTTCCTAGGCCTTTTTTTTTTTTTTAAATACCCTCCGGATACCTACAATCGCTAGATTCCCGCCTCACCGGGAACGGAACACGCGCTTCCGAGCATCCCCGGGCATCCCTAAGGCTAAAGCCGAAGTGGGCGGAGTTTGGGTCTCCTAGCCCGCGCAGCCGAGTGAAGCGGCCATTGGCTGCTCTTCTCTTTGCCACACCCCCCGACAGGTTACGTATGGGCTTTCGAAGCTAGCGGAAGGCTACTGTCATCTGCCGACCCGGCTCCTTGGTGTACGCTCGCTCCCCGGCGCCTGATTGGCTGCGCCTAGTCTCAGATTGTCTCGCGCTCCGGGGCTAAGCCAATGGAATCAACCACAGTCGGGTAGCCAGCATCCTTGCAGCCGTGGTGCCGCCGAACCCTCCGGTAGGTGTGTGGCTGCCATCTTGTGTGTGGCATTGCCCTTGGAGGAAGGGGATGGGGTGCTCGGGAGTTGGGGCCAACGGAGGAAAGGTCGCCTCCACGACCGCCCACGACAGCCCTCTTTTTCCTGTTAGAAGGGGGGACGACTCCGTTACCCCGAGTTTCTGATCATAGGAGGGAGAAGAGGGAAGGCGAGGGAGTTGTGGCAGTGATGGAGAGCCATCACTAGTCTTTAGTTGTCCGTTTGTTTTTGTTTTCGTTTTGGGGGAGGGGGCGGATCTCTGTATCATTGAGCCCTGGCCTTGACCCCGCTGATGGGCGTCCGTATCTGGGTGATGATTACAGTGTCTACGGCCGGTCCGCCTCCCTTGGCCTTCCCGAGTCCCGTCGTCATGGTAATAAGGAGGGGGAACGAGGGAGATTTTCTTTGCTTGCATCGACATTTTTGAGATCACTAGAATTGGCCTTTGACCATGATCTTGCCTGACATCGTCGTAAGTGGGTGCTGGGTTCTGACCCCAAATTGTGTCTTACTCAGTTGCCTTCCTTACGATAAAGGCTTCCATCCAGCAAATGGTCTTAACATCCTCCAGTCACCAAACTGCCCTTCGCTCCTTACTTAGGGATGAATGTCCAGAAGATTGGGATGTTTTGAGTCACTCTGCCCTGATGGCCTGTAAATCTCAAACCTGGGGGAAGAATTAATGCAACAGGGGCTTGGACTTTTGGATGATTTGTATACAGTGACAAGGCATGTGTTATAGGTTAGGTTTTAAATGTCATTTGACTTAACTTTTAAGATCTAAGGTGTTCTCTTTTTTTTCTTTTAGAAACCTCCCATACTTCTGAGCTCTTTTCCCCAAGCACCATTAAAAAATTATGAGATTGATTTGTATCAAGGACACACATGTATAAATATAACTATGAAGTCACCAGATCTGACAACTAGGCTGTTGAAAGTTCTTATTGTGTTGTTCTTAGTTTTGGCATCCAGCTGGAGGAGGTGAAGATGACTATCTTATTGCACTGAGTTTAACTTTCAGTTATTCAAGGCTAGCCAATGATCCAGCTGTATGATGGTTTTTGGTGACAAGGACATCAAAGGCAGCGAACAGCTGTAATAATAATGAAGAAAATTATAAATTCTGTCCCGTGGGTTGAAGGGCTTCAGTTTCAAGAATTCTTTGTTCAGATTCGAATAATATGCAGGAATGCAATGATGAATTTGGGGAGGATTGAGGGAAAATTTAGTTAACAAGCAGGGTTTTATCAGTAGTGAATATTGTTGAGTAACAGGATACTGGAGTGCAGTGCTCTAAATTCTAGGTAAAACTTTTAACTGAAAATATAATGCTTTTTATTAATGTCTCACCTACTGAAATTGTGATCGCTTGAATGTATTTGCTTAGGGTACATTTCATATGAATCAAGTAGATTTCACCATCAGTTGTGCTTTTGAATGATTATTTTAGTAGTAAAATTGATACCACTAAGGTGCTATCTAGGATTTTATCATGGTTTGTGTATTACCTACCTCATTTCTTTCCCAGAGCGTACCTCTTCCCCCCACCCAGGAAACTTTGAACTTTAGTACTACTTGAAAAATCTGTAAGCCAGTATTTATATGAGTGCTATTTTTAAACTTCTTGAAACAACATTGAATCAGGAGTCAGGAGACTTAAATTCTAGTCACAGCCCTGCCACTAGCTCACTGTACCAAATCACATTTTGGGGTTTGTTTCCTAACATGTAAAATGATTTAAATTATAATAAGCACTAAAATATTTTAGAGTTATGTAACACATGCTTTGGAGTAACACATGCATTGGAGCCACTATCCTAAACCCCCACTGGAATTGGCAAGAGAGAAAGCATAAAGGTTGTCTTCGATGAGCCATTGATATTGAATAGTCAGCCAGACTTAATTAGCCAATAGAAACAGGTATTTAATAAAGTGGTATGTTTGGTACAGTTTTTACAAAACATCCCCCCATGAAATCCTTGACACACTTTGAAACTGCCATTACATACAGAGTTTAGGGCAGGGGTGGGGAACCTTCAGCCTTGAGGCCACATGTGGCTCTCTAATGTGGCTCTTTGACTGAATACAAACTTCATAGAACAAATCCCCTTAATAAAAGGATTTGTTATGTAAAATTTGAACTCGGTCAAAAGGCCAAACTCAGGTACCTAGAAGGCCACAGGTTCCCCACCCCTGGTCTAGGGGAAAGTGGCAAAGGGGTAACCCACAGATTCTGGAAGCCCATTTGCTAGAGTCGTCAAGATATGCCTGTAAGTTTGGTATAGCTTTTCTGTTGGGTTTTATGTGGAGTCTGGAATTTGCCTTCCCTTTTCTTGTCTTTGGCTCCCAAGGCATGCAACTGCAACAGGATAACTCTCGCTATCCTGGGGATGTGCTAGCATTAGTTGAAAAGTTCAAAATCTCTGCCCTTCCACAGTCCACAACATCCTCCTCAAGTCACGGGCAGGCAGGAGGAGACAGGTAATTCCTTCTAATGGGCATGATCAAATCCCTTAACCAGTCAGAATGTCTTGTACCTTAGGAAATATCCAGGCCTCGGTTACACCTAGTGAATTATCAAGATATTTTCTTTCCTAGTTATGGATTCCAGGCATTCGTATCCTGTCACTTACTTTTAGTGGGCTGAGGGAATTGTCTAGGCCAACCCTTATCCTTACCCAGGTATGATATCCCATGATTCTTTGCCTTCAGTCTGTTCTGTTTATAGCTTTTTTTGTTAGTACCACCTAATGGCAAAGGAGGGCAGCTAGGTGGTGAAGTGGATAGAGAGCCAAGCCTGTAATCAGAAAGACTCATATTCAGATTCATTCAAATGTGGCCTCAAATATTTACTAGCCATGTGACCCTGGCCAAGTCACTTAACATTGTTTGCCTCAGTTTCTTCATCTGTAAAATGAGCTGGAGAAGGAAATGACAAATCACTCTCATTTTTCTTTGAGAAAACCTCAAATGGGGTCACAAAGTCATACACAACTAAAAAATGACTAAACAGTAATAACAAAGGCAAAGGACAGTATATTATCCTACTATAATACACAAATAAGTTTGTATCACTGATTTTCGTATTAAATACAAGTATTTTAAAAATCATTACATGAATATTCTTTACTTTAAAGAACACATTTTGATTTGGTAATTATGGGTACGTATCATACTACCTCCCTTATATAACCTATATGATCAGTAAAGATTTAAGCTGAAAATGAATTATGAATTGGATAATATGGTTAACTTATATTTAGATATTTACTTGTCATATCAACTCAGCAAAGTGAACGACAACACAGTATGAATTTTTTAAAAATTTATTTTATAATTATTCTTTTATTATTGCTTCTGTCTGTCCCTTAAGGCAAAGATTCTTCGTCTCCTGCTCAGAAACATCACGGTTTTCCACAAGTTCAGAAAAATGTTCTTGTATGTGGGTTTTCTCATCAACATAAGTATTTCTATAGAAGGGTTTTCTCATAAACGTAGGTAATTAAGCCTAAAGGGATTGCTTTAAAAAAAAAGTAGATGGCATACTAGAGAAAGGAAGGAAATAAGAATTTATTAAGTGCCTGCTATGTGCGAGGCACAGTGTTAAGTGCTTTACAAATATTATTTCATTTGATCTGCACAGCTCCGTGAGGTTGATGCTATTATTATTCTCATTTTATAGAAATGTGGAAACTGAGGCAGACAGGTGAATTGACTTGCCCAGGGTCACACTGCTAGTACGTGTCTGAGGCTGGATTTGAATTTAGGTATTCCTGGCTCCAGACTAAGTGCTTTATCCACTGGGCCACCTAGCTGCCTAGAGCAAAATAGAGGAAATTACTTGTATTTCTATGTGGGAAAAAAATGTCATATTTTAAAAATTATTACCATTTCATATGTAATACATATATGTGTATATATACATATATGATTTTTCTTTTTTGGAAAGGAAAATATTGCTAGCATTAGAATTTTCTCATTGCACAGTGGGGTTTTGCTGTTTTAAGCAACTGGAATTTATTTAGTTTATTTCATAAACTAAATTCATGTCAGTTTATCCATTTTAACTATTAATTACTCTAGAGTAGCACTAACCTTAAATTAGGTGGAATAACTTTTTTTGTGCTAGATGTGCGATTTTTATTAATGTAAGGAACTAATTTCCCATTAAAGAAACCCTCTTTGCCAGTACAGATCTGTAATTGTGCAGCACTCTTGCTCTCCAACTCCCTCCCCCCAAGTCATCATCTGGGCGCAGTCCTTGGCGAGAAAGAGCCACTACCAATGAACACTGACCATGTGCCCCACAAAGGCCATGTACACCCAAGAGCCCCAGGAATAGCAGGCTTTTTCTAAGCTCCCAGTCCTACTTCAAACCAGGGATTCCCCAGCCTTGAAGGAAAAGCCATTTGGAAGGCAGGAGAGCAACTTTCTCAGAAGATATTTCGATTTCCTCCTCCTCAGCAGGTGCAATTACTGAAAACCCAAAAAGAATTCCTCCACCACAGATTTTGGTACAGTCATGTGACAGCATCAAAATGCACTATGGTTTTATTCATAGAAATGAATAAAAAGAAGATGCAGTACCCTCTTCTTTACCCCATAAATCTGCGCTTCTTAAACTGTGGTTTGCAACCCCATATGTCACATAACTGAATGTGGGGGTCGTGAAAAATTTGGCAACAGTAAAAGGTTTCTGAATGACCAAAAATT